ATTGCTTTTTCAACACCTACACAAATATGCTGTACATGGGATGATTTTGGTGAAAAATAGAAATGCGTCATTGCTTTGTCAATTTGAAAGATCAAATAAGATCAATACCTACGATCTAGTGAAATATCAACCACACAATTCATTATTCCAGATCCTCTATTTAAAATAAATCTATTTAAAATAAATTGTTATTAAATCTAGGGCAAACTCTCATCAGTTTGAGTTCATAAGGACCATCAGAAAAATATGACGTTAACAAAATGTCAGTTTTTGAAACATTGGAGGATTTTTTTTAAAAGTTTCAGTAACTTGACAAACTATCCTATTTTCTCTTTTATTTGTCAGTATGTTCCTATGAGGACTCCACAAAATATCATTGCAAACAAATGTCTCAACAATCTGTAGTTGCTGTTTGTCTGTTCCTGTCATATTTCAAATATTCAAGAAAATATTCAAGAATAAAGAATTCAAGAATAAAATATTCCAAGAATAAAATTCTTACGAAAAGTATAGATTTTACAGTATTGTGTAGAGTAAAGTATATCATGGACATTCAATACATCATGTACGTATTCTTTCTTCACTGTGACGTCAAGATTTCCCTGGAGAAGCTCCAGTCACTTCTTGTTACAAGTAATTAACTTTTAGGACAAGAGAATAGTAAAACAAGACTTGTTCAATCGCATTACAATACCTGGATATATATATAACAGGATTGTAAACACTTAAACACAGGATAGAGGCTAGAACATGATATGCTCATCAAATATGAAAAATATGCATTGGTTATTAACTAAAATTATGTAAATGCTTTACATTCTGTTTGTTTTTAGTTTTGATCTATGATTCTAAAAAAGGTATCTCTCTTAATCCTGTATGTAACAAAGTAGGGAGAATAATGGAAAATAGTTCAGTAAACTACTTTGATATATGCAAATGATTAAAAATCATATACAAAAACCACAAAATTAAAAATAAACTTGAAAAAGCATAACTCTATTGAAAAGTACAAGACAGAATGGCGCCAAAATGTAAATACAAATATGTTTAAAGTTTCAGTATAACAATGTTATCAAACTTACATTAATATAGGAAAATTACGACGACAGAATGTATAATGGATAACGTGTAAATGATTACAAATGACTATGGTCATAAATAATATCATATAGACCTGGTATAAGTAACGTGACAAACATTGAAAAAACATACAACATCTGATAAAACCTGTAAAGTACACACACTTGAATGAAGTAAAATGGCACACAAAAAATGGTTAAATGGTAAAATGGTACAAATTTCACAATATCTATACTGCCTTCACAAAATATAACACTTTTTTTCTATAAAATTAATAAAACAAACCATATGATTTTTAAATACAACCAATGTAAAAAATACATACTAAGTGTCAAAATAATATTAAAAATACTTATATAGACTCTAATTGGTTAAATGGTGATTAAACTAAAAAGGTTACATAAAGTACATTTTTAAATAGTAACCAGGGGTAGAAAAATAATTTATATTTCCGGTCTTTACCAAACGTTACCAGATGGCTTCCCTTTTATCCACACCCTGTATTAATTTGAGCAGATCCTGCAATGGTATTATGCTATATATGGCAATAAATATGTTTATGCTATATATGACAATAAACATGTTTATACAATATGTTTATGCTTTATATCTCAATAAATATGTTTATGCTATATATTGCAATAAATATGTTTATGCTTTATATCTCAATAAACATGTTTATGCTATATATCTCAATAAACATGTTTATGCTATATATATCACAATAAACATGTTTATGCTATATATTGCAATAAACATGTTTATGCTATATACCACACGTTTATGCTATATATCTCAATATGAATTTTGCAAAACAAATATAACTATATTTTGGGTTTCAATTTACTGTCACACTTTTTCTTTCTGTAGTAAGGACAAACTTGTGTTTTATTATGTTGTAACAATGGATTAAGAACAATATATGCTATTAGTTAACTTTTAATATAAAAGTAGCGTTGAATATGAAACAGTTTTGATAAAGGTAGCAAAATGTAAACAGAGTGGTATTTTGACTTCCATACAAAATCAATATAACTGTACTAATTGTCAAAACAAAATATAAGCTAAATATGTTTCAGTTATATAGTGAAAGAGTGACTTTTAAGGACTGTAACAGAACATAGCTTTAGTAAAATAATTTTCTAAAAATTTGCATTTTTTAAACTTAATTTTTAAAACAAACTCAAGATAGTATTATCAATAATTTTATTGAAAATACTCTACAGAGTAGTCATGTACTATACCCATGTTAAACATGAAGTAAAAACTTCTCAGCATGAATCAAATGAGACACAAGGCTGAATGCTTGGAATTTGATATCCGAAAAATCTGTCGTCAATCAAAGCAATAATGATTTATAGAGAGCACGTGTCTGCATGTTTTTTTTTTTATTTTCAATGAATCTGTTATCACCAAATCTAAAGTAGCAAAGTAACTGACAGGTAACATGTACCCTTATATTCTCAATATTTAGTTATGTAATGATGGGGGAAAAATCAAATTTAAACTATGAAAACATAATCATAATTGTTGACAAAAATATGATTTTTTTTTACTACCTTGATGCATTCAATATTAATCAATAATAGACAAGTTTTTATTTTTTTTAAAAGTATTAGTATATTCTGCAATGAAATAAACAATAATTTTCCATAAATATTTTTTAAAAAAGTTATCAATATAAAAAGTAAAATAGGAAAGTACAAGCAAAAGTTAATGTAAAAAAGTAAAATGGGAAAGTACAAGCAAAAGTTAATGTAAAAACACAACCCAATTCTACACAACAGACCAAACCTTGAACAAAATACAAGATGAACATTTTATGTTCTTTATAATATTATAAATTAAAAGATATAAATAAAATTTAAAGCAAGATGTTCACACTTAAAGGTGATTTTTTTCCATATTTTTCTAAAAATAATTATAACATGTCAACATGTTAATCAGCTTAGAAGTGCAGTGTTTCTTTTCAATTTTTAGACAGGTCTTATAAACACCCATATAACAATAAAGCTAAATTTAAAAAATAAAAAAAAGTGTCCAAAAATCCCAACAATTATAAAATTTGAAATTCCAAAGTTGTTTTGACCAATTTTTTCTCTTCACTTTAACCAAACATTACAACAAAAAAAAAACTTCCATTTTTTTGTTTAAAGGTTGAAAAGAACCACCTACACAAAATACTCCAAAATGAATATTAAAACATACATATATGTGAAAGTACATCATACGAAAACCTTAGAGTTGACTAAAAATTCATTTGTTATATATTATTAAGCAATTTCTCATTTTCAGATGCGAAAAGTATTTTACATATTTATCATATGAATAAAATTAGAAATGTTTTCATCTGAGCCATAAATGAATTAATCCCAACCCTCTAAAACCAATATCTGTAGTACATGTAGTATATTTTGTTTAAAGCTTGTTTTAACACCTAGACTTGTACACATGTATTATGTCTATAATAGTTTTGTGTCTTGATCTAAATAATAATGCTAATTTCTACAGTTAGTTTTAGTTATGAGCTAGGAATGAATTAACAATTGTGTATAAAGAACATGCATAAATTGATAAATGAACATCACAAAATGGGTAATTTTATTAGAAATGCACCATTTAATTAAAATGCTGTATATTTTTTACATCTTATTAAAACATTTCCATCATAGAAAGTTGTTGACTAAGACAAATGACATGAAAATACTGACAAGACCTTAAATTGTGGACCACAGGCATATTAGCCTACTAAAATGACACTAAACATCAAGAAAAATTTAGTATGAAGATTGATAATTAAATATAGGTTTTAGAAATACTTCCTTCACGCTATAGACATTAAAACTACTGTACTCTATAAACATTTGATATAGATAAAGATGTCCCAACAAATTAATTATCATACAATCTTAATGATTTTTGACTGGATGTGATGTCACATCAATACTGCTACAGTTAAACTGTTGTAAGAAGACCACAGGTGGTGATCTATGTATTATTTCAGGCACAAGGGGACGACTGAGTAGAATGAACAACCTTTCATCAGCAAGGAGAGTTTCTTGATTTAAAAGAAGCCAAAGTTCCTTGTAGGATTTGAATCTACAGGGACGAAGCGTAAATGAATCAAGTCTATGACTCTTACCAGTTGTACACATTTGCCCCATTTCAAGAACCACTTAATATAGCTGAAAAATGCATTATATAATGAAGACCAAACAGGTCAAAGCTGAGCATGAAATTATCTGAATTTATACATGATCATAAGCTGTAACGACTTTAAGAAAATCTTTATCGTTCTGCAGTTTTCAGCTTTGAAAAAATATTGTAAAGACAATCAAATCTAAAACATTTATAAATTACAGTGAATGTGGTGACATCATGTGAAATGAAGTAAAGTTAATATGACAGATGAAACTTACAAGCTCCAGTACAACCATTGTGCAAATAGAATAACCAAATTTGTATATGTGGATGTGCAATAAAAATTAACATAATCAGTAATAAAGTAATCATGAAAAATGAAGAAAAAGTCTATTAAAACAACATAATGCAAACATGCTGTGAGGGTTTGACAAAATATGGACTAGACTTAACAAATATATATATACATTAAACGTATTCTTTCCCATGTATAAGGCCTTTAACTATGTAAGTAAAAAATAAAAAAATAAGCTAGGCCTATCAAATATATATATATACAAACTGTTAGAACTTCACATACCATATTTATCCCATAGTATTACAAATATGCAACCATAAACACAAAAAACACCTAAATCATCAAATTCAAAAACAAGTGTGACCAACATGTTTCATTTTTGACAACTCTTGAGAAATTTAAATTTAAAGATAATAATTCAGCAATGAATTTTAGACTATATAAAATTCTGCTTTTCACAAAGAATAAATCAAAGAATCATTCAAATTCACCAAAGCAGTATTTCAGAAAACAAAGGGAAGCAATCACACAAAAATCTCTCACCAGAATGCAGGATATATTGATTCAATACAACCTAATTTTGGTAGAATGTAAACTACAGCAAAACTACAACCTGAAGATTTATCATAAGCAGACTTACAATTTTTATGCATAAATACGTTCAAAGCTTTACATCAAAAAATGACCAAGTACTTACTGATGTTTTTCACAAATAAAGATTATATGAAGAATCTTGAAGGAAAGTCTAAAAAAAATTTTTTCTATTTTTTTGATTCCACAAAGTCATGGAAAACATTTTTTTTGAACAATGTATTTGAAAAGGGGGTCTTAAAAGGAAAATTCCTACCATGCTTTCAGAAATGACCCAGTGGTTTAAGAAAAGCTGTTTCAATCAAAAGTATGGAGCGACAGACGGATGAAAAGACATCACAAAAGCTCACCTTGAGCATTGAGCAGATAGTATGCAGTGTGAAAAATATACACGAATCTTTCAATATCACAAGATACTGAAATAAAATCATCAAATTATCAAAGAAATGGAATATTTTCTACATGGAATAGATATGGTATATCAGGTCCATATGGGTCAAAGATGTAAAAGGAAAGTCTAACGGATAAAAACATAAGCTATCACTAACCACTAGCCTACAGTCTACCTAACAAAATATACATCAGGATTGCACTAAATGGGACTTCTTCCAGGCTAGAGACAAATTGTTAAATCAGTAATCTTCCAATGAGGATTATATTCTGTTTACCATGATATCAATTTTCAAAAACGTTCATAATCTTGATTATAGATCATTAATATAGAACTAATACTCAAGGTCATGATTTGTCAGAAGTTGAAAAATACATGAAAATTTAATTTCCCAGAAAATTAATGATTTCACCAAATGTCAGGTACAAATGTCACATACAAAGATGTTTTACACAAAACAGGAGTCATAGCAACAATGAAAATAGGGAAGGTATATTTTGTTCCCAAATCAAATTTCATAAAAGATCGGTTGAAAGAAAAAGAGTTGATCCCAACAAAATAAAAATACATGAATAATAACAAAATATGGGTGTACAATATTTCATCTCCACATAATGATCTATGAAAGCAATTCTCAATCAAAATTGGTGATTTTCTTATTCTTCTGTTTTATAATATTTACAATAAGCATTTATTCAAAATGACGATTATGATGACAATGTGAAGGTGTTTTTTTTTTCTCTTCTTGATGTAATGTCATAAGTATAATGTCAATTTTATATCCATAGGAAAATTTTTTTATTTTCTTGTATTTTGTTGCCATGACGATTACAGATCTATTATCCAATCACAGAGAGCCAATATTGGACAGAAAATCTCAAAAATTTGCATTTTGTATGCACAAGTGTATGTCTGAAAAGAAGTATTTTAACTTTGGTAAAGGTTAGCGTACGGTCCACCACGTGCTGGATACGGGGATTTCTCTTGCGTTCTCGCCATCTCGTACACGACGTCATCTTCTCGTAGTGGCGGAGACTTCCTCATGAAGAAAAGAAGGAGGGCGCAGAAAGCTATAGCGAAAACCTGAAATTTGTACGAAAATTACACAACATATATATCTCAAACGCTACAGTTTTCATTGCAATTTAAAATATTGTGAGGTCACTTAGTATCATTCAAATCTGTTTTATGTTGATAATGAATTTTATCCAAAAAAATAAGAAAGCAGATTTTTATATTTTACATGTATAGTAATAGGTGAATACTGTATTCACATGAAACAAACTTTATGCTTACAACAAGTGCATGTATGTTACAAAATATCAGACTGAGGATAATATATGAATAACAATTCTTATAACAAAACACACTGTAAGTTCTTCTGATATATTCAAAATATTTGGGAAATATTGATAATGTATTCTATCTTTCCCCTACAGATTTCAAATATTACAACTATATGAAGACATCTAAGGATGCTTCTAAATTTTTAATCAACATCATTTTCATGATCAAATATTGAGTCTAGATAAAACAGTGTTAGGGGGCATACCCGGTAGATGGCAGCTTAGTTGATCTTACATTATTGTACCATTATCATTTATGAACAATTTAAATCAAACTGAGTTTGCAATATTTTCAACTGGGCAATCTTTTAAGTGTTTTTTTATTTACATTTTATTGCCAAAACTGAAACATTCAATCCCAAAACTACTACAATAAAGTACAATTTACTGTAAATGAAACATTAATTTTCAGATATATCTTACCAGTACAGCCACTATACTAAAGGCTATGGCAGCTGCAATTTTAACATTCTCCTGCATTAATGCTACGAAAGCTTCACCACAACCCTGTCAAAATAGTCAGTACAATACTTATTTTATACAATAAATAAATAAATATATCAAATATAAATTATATATCAAATATAATTAATGTTACAAGTCATGTATGTATAACATGCAGATATTTTAGACTCTTGATCATCATAAATACTAAATCTTTCATAAAATCTGTTAAACTCACCCAGTTTTTGACACGTAGTTTCTCCGTACGCCCTTTTAATTTCATAAAATTGACTTGTGCAGCTTCATTTTTGGACATGTCCATTATCCATTTTGATGATATAATGATGAAAATTTGGTTGCTCAGCCTACAGTCAGCCAACCTGGCCAGACTGTACATATGTACATGCTGAATTGGCTCAATACACGGGGCAAAGGCTTATCACTCCCTGTTACAGCATCGGAAACGTTAAAGCACATTATGCATCAGAAACAAATATTTTTTCCTTCTTTAGAAAGATTATAGATGAATTTTAATTATAACCTTTAAATGTTTATAAGCAGTGTAAGAAATTAGGATTTGAATCGACTAGGCTGGTTGGACTACCAGATTGGAATATTCACTAGCCCAAAAAACATTTCACTAGCACGATTAACTTGTTCTAAACAGTTGTTTATATTGCCTCTGAAAATACAGTAGCCTGGTCGGGCTTGTTACTGTGAAAAGTTGGTAGCCCGAGGAGAAATTTAGTAGTCAGGGGCTATCGGACTACTGCTAATTTCGAACACTGTATAAGGCATGTTAGATGAAACAGCAATGCATGAGATTTGTTGAGATTTATTAGGTCATTAAAGTAGTAAAAAGTATATAAAATAGTATTTTGACTTCCATACAAAATAAACTATAATTGAACTAATTGACAAAAAGCTATAGATGGTCTTGGGAATGTGCAAATGAATAACATTTTGGAAACTGATTCAAGGCAAAATAAATTTTAAATAAAGTTTTTCATAAATAAAAACAAAAGCATTTCTGGTAGAATTTCAAATGCTTTTCTTTTGTTCAACCAAATAATTATAAGTCTGAAAATGACATTATCTGAAATCTCAATTTCATACAATTCAGAACATAAAATAAGATTATTCTGTAATGTTTTATTTACTGCATTTTAGTATTCTTTTTGAATATATAATATAGCCTACAGCACACACCCTGGATTATCATGATATGATTAACACCAAATATTAGCACACATTTGTCAATGACATTCATCTTGATCACATTTTAGGTTACAAAGTACTAAATTTTTTACCTTTATCCTGACACTATCATGGGTTACAATTAATGTACCATTTTTTTACACAATCCAAAGGAACAGATGCATAGAATCTGGAGCTTTTTTTTTTAAACAAATACCATAAAATTAATACAAACTTACCTTTTTGTGGATATTATCATTAGTAGGTGGTAATTTATCCCCTTCGGAGCCTGCAGTTGTCTTGTACATAGGACAGTATTTATATGGTAAGGTATTAGTGTCCTCGTACAACTTATAATCTTTACAACATGTCTTAGGAGCCTGATCCTTGCGTGCGTTCTGCTCCGAGTTCGCGTCGTAGTCTTGCGACCAAACCGACTGTTTATAATCAGTATATGACATTCCCCCGCAACACTCCAACTGTAAAATCAAAACAAACAAACAATTTATTGAATGTACGTTTTTGCTTTATATCTAATTTGTTTAGTTTGAATGTGTAGAAAGCTATAAACTTATGGACACACTTTCCAATCTGTTCCCAGAACCAACCAGTACTGAACAATGAGTGTAAAGTTCCTTACTCAAGGAAACAATGACTTGCCCCTGACAAGTTTAAAACCCATGCAGCTAGCAATCATTAGATTACTAGTCCAACATGTTAACCACTCGGCCATGCCGCCACTACGTTTTTCATTCTTTATACTGCGGCTAGCAAACAGATACATTCCTAATTTGCTGGAAATTTGTTTTTTCAAAACAGTGTAAATAATCAGCCTGTCAAAATTTACAACCTGGCTGTTCTGAAAGAGGTATTTTCCACCAATTTACATTACTTTATAACAAAACAATTTCAAAACTGTGTAAGATTTAATGAATGCTAACTTGCCAATGATAAACTTATAATGTCATAATCAGTGTACATGTATATTAAGAATGCATATCTTTTCTTTTACACTTACAAGCAGAAACAGACTATAATAAATGTCAGTAAAAAACAACCAGGCTGAGCAACATTCACAGAGCCCAATCCCCAAGAGTATCTGTCTATACAGACACCAAAAGAACAAACAGGATACAAGTGACTGTCACCCAGTGGGGAACCATACCGGAATAGGCACTTATAACTTAAGTGGTGCACAATACAAAAATTGGTGGAACAAAAAGGTGGTGTAAAGGTATAGTTTTGTTTCTTGGTTTTTCTTGTTTTAATGCCAATTTTAACACAGGTTTTGGCCATATCTCACACTCCGTCCACCTAAAACTGGCTTTCCTATGTAGCAAACGCGTTATTACCTATTTCTCTGCAAGTGACCGACTACTTTTCCCACATGATTTCTAAAACAATGGTGAGAGACAAATCATGACCAACAGACTAAATGTTTGAAATCAGTTATGCCTTGTCAAATGAGTGGAAACCATTCTGATATTAAAGGCGCCTGTGACCTTGACCCAAGCTTGAACTAGTGACCCCAAATCCATAAGGGTCATCTACTACTTACTTCTTATGAACAATCAGTATGTGAAATATGAAGACTTTGTGATAAATAGTTTTTTAAAAGTTACTCAGTAGAAACCATGTGGTCTACGGACCGACACACAGACATACCGACCAACATTAGTAAAACAATATACCACCTCTAGGGGGGCATAAAAAGGAACAAAGTTGGACATCACCTTGGAATGGCCATTGAGCAGTAGAGGCTGATTTTACTGGTTAAACGGACTAAACCTAATAAAAGACATACCTCTTTCTGCATGAAGTCAATAGCCTGTGTAACTCTTCCATCTATTCCATATTTCTTTTCAACCACTTCCTTCAATAAATCTGAGTTCTTTATCGTATTTTCTATCTGTAAAAACAGAACAAAAATTAATTATCAAATAATATGACTAACTAGTTATCAAGGCTCTGTATCATCAGAGTGTTTGCAAGACAAACCTGTTCATTTGTCCTTAAATCAAATAAATCAGACTCCATATTTTCTACATAACTTTAATAGTTGTTATCTGGTCACAAAAGACTTTTTAAGGGGTATCACAGTGATGATAGTGTTTCTATAGATAGCCTCTCTTAACTAACATGCATGTTTAATTGAATTGAAAATGTTATAAAATGTGCGGGTATTTTAGTCCATTCACAGTTGTTTCAGGATTTTCCCTTTTCTGATTTATCTTGCTATATTTTCCCCTTAAGAAAACCACAGGTTGTTTTGAAAACTGAAAAAAATATTACTGCTGTTTCTTAATTTTGAAATAGACAACCTGAATTGCGTGTGTTGTCTCGTCATTTTAATCAAATCTTTATTTGAACACATGCATTTATACATGTAAAACTTTCAGTAACTTAGAACTTCCCTGTTCAGTTCAAATTTAGACTTTGCACCAAATTTATTTCCTGCCCTTTAAGAATCCATACTCACCCTCAGGGCATGATTCAAACCTTCAGCTGTAAAAGTCAACTGATTTAATTGTTTGCTATTAGTCATTACTTATATAGTCACCTTAGTACAGTCACATGTTAACTCCTATTAATATTCAATAGGAGTTAACCCATTTTTGCACTAAGATAAATGATATTCAAAATGTTCCCTAAAAATGATGAATGGTTGTGTCCAAATTGAAAGATGGACTAGTCCATTTAAGATATTTAGCATGGTAAGGGTTTAAAGTACCTCTTCTCTGTAGACATATGCGTAAACCCCACCTCCGATCATCATGCCAAGTATAATCGGCAAAAACACCATATACTGAAACAAACAATAAACATTGGGGTTTATATTTTCATATAGAACTACATTCCCGCTGCCTTATATATACATATACAAAATAACGTATGAGAAATTACAGTACTTGAACAATGCAATCAAGACTTCCCTGTTTCTGAATCTCTGAAACTTTGCCAACATTTCATTTTAAGGAAATCTCGCTAAAATCATATCCTTACTGACGCTCCATTATCTTTCACTTGTCAGGGTAACAGAGTGAAAACGATGATCAGATTTTAATGAGATTGCCACAACTTGAAGTTACGGACAACCTAGTTGTTCAGGTGTTTGCCTCTCAACCCTGACATTGCGGGTTTAAGCATTACAAATGTCATCACCATGATTCCTGACATGGAACCAATCAACTTAAAGGTAACCTAAGGTCACAGCGCTTTATTGGTTATAAATATTTATCTGTTACATACAATCTCTATATGTGGTTATACAACATGTCCACACAGGAAGTGCACACAAGTCTGACTGTAACTTATTATAATATAAAGCATATTTAGCATTGTTTCAGTTAAGATAAATATCTACACAAAGTGGTACTTGTATAATTCTCCCTTATCTAACTTTCAGACAGAAAAATACTTAAAAGGCGCATTAAAGGTGCATGCCTCCAGATAAACCAAAAATCAAGAAAATCATCCATGAGAAAAATGATCTTAGATTTTATGAAAAGTAAAAATATTCACAATACAAGAAATGATTCACATGTTGTATGCAATGAATGACTCGTTTTGCAGTATTTTATCTCTATATTTCTACTGTGTGCATATTTTTACCTTTATTTGGTAATTTTACTTGGATTGAACATGCCATTTACAATGTGTAAATTGCTTTCTTTATTCACTTGACAATATTTTATAATTTTAATTCATTTTCAAAATTTTCATGAAAATTAGCTTTAATATGGAGGAGTGTTGCTTTAAAAACTCATTTAGTCATAATACTGCTACTACTCTATTTTTCAAAAAACATGTTTTGAGTGTGTCCTGTTATAATTTCCGAAACAAATGATGTAGCTGAATAGCCTCCTCACATGAAAGAAACAAAAGTCCATGTCAAGATTCCTATCTGTGATGGGTATGTGGTTTGAATGAAGTCAATGACCTTAACCGCTAAGCTATGAACTTCCTTTTTTTGTAATAGCAGTAATGGATTAAGAACAGAGTAAGATGCTCAATATCACCTTCAGAAAATAGCTGAAGCACTGAATGTTTAAATAATTTATAATTTCCTTAGTAACTTTTCCTTAATGCAAATTGTCAAAAATGAACAAATAACATTTTATGACCTATTACCTGACCCATGTATACAGACTAAAACCAAAGCCATTAAAGATATTTATCACGAAAATTTTGGCTGTTTCAACATTGACCAGCAATTGTAAGTATGCCAATTCTTTAATTAAATCCACACTCTCTTTTAGACTTTGTAACTTAATAAAGAAACGACTGTCTCAAGTATGTAAAGATTGCAAGTGACTTCTGCACAACTAGAATATTCAATACATTCATTATCTGATTTGTTTTCCTCATTTAGAATTTCTCCAGTCCAGTAAATGGATATCAGATCTTCCAACTAAACAATTTCCAATTTTTCTTAAAATTGTCTCTAAAACTTATCAGTGACCATATAAAAAATAAAATATAATCTTGCTGTTTCTTGTGACTTTCTTTTACTATTTATCCTCATGAGTAACGTTATACTTATATACTCCTCATAACATCAATGATATTTACTGTCATTTATACAGTTATAGATTAATAATCCTAACATGTGCTTTATTACAGATCATGGGCATTGCAAATTAACATACATGAATACAATGTACACTTAAGTCATTTTTCTGTCCTTTAATTTTTACTAACTCTGCTGGAAAAATATACTTTAAAGGCATAATAGATCAATAAAGTTTTTAAAGTCTTTTTTTTTCTTTTCTCAAAAAATTTAAGTACCGGTACTGCAGTACCATTAAAGACAAACCTGCATTACCATATAAATGTATATATATATATAATATTAAAAATAATATTAATATCATTGTTGATTAAAGTATTCGGCTGATGATAATGGACAACAAGCATTACTGGAATAATTGAAAAAATAGAGTTAGTTGTTAAGAAATTATTTTTATTTCAACATTGCACAAGGAACATTTATCAATAGTTTTGATATTATAATAGTTTCATACATGTATATAGAGTAAAACCAGTTATTGACCCTGATTAAGCCATGTTGAATTTCTCAAAATTAATGTACTTGTCCAGCTTCAAATTTCAGAACTATCCATTATCAATTTTTGGGGATATCATGATGCAAATTGGTTATGTAGCCAACATTCTGAGAGCCTCCGAGGTTGGACTGCCCTGGTCAATGGCTAACCCCCTATGGTTACAGTAGGGTAAGGCCTAAATTGATTCACTATTTTCTTTCACTGAACATGTACAATAGATTCCACTTCATAAAATTTCAGTATTTATGCCCATATGTACTTTAAAATTTAAAATATTTAATTAAGGGTGCAACTAAAAAGAAAAAACTCTGTGTAGACGGATAGAAAATAAACACTGTTGTTCCAATTTCTGCTATGTCTTCTGTACAGGGTTTGCAATTTATTAAATTAACTAAGCTTTTATATATATTGGTTTTGTATTAGATTTCCAAACAAGTATAAAAACAAAAACTTCATTACATAAAGCATGTTTGGAAAAGTAATTTGTTGGGTTTTTTTACTTTTATTTTCCACAAGTTGATTTGTTCCATAAACTCAGTAAGTCTATCCGTTAATCAGTATTGATTTTTAAACACTGTAAGATATTTAACAAAGACCAACAAACATCTGACACAAGCAGCTTAAAATATTTGTTGTAACTCATCTGAGATATTTTCTGTATTGTTTCAGCAACATGTACAATGCCACGTATACCACATACATTGTATAAATTTAACCAACAGGAAAAATAAAAACCAACATAAAAAGACTCAAACTAGATGAACTTAGTCAGTTATACAATGACAGGTCAACGTATCAGTCTGTACATTTCACATGTTTTTGTTTTTTAAACTGAGATTATGATTAACTCTATTGTTAAATTCTACATGTATGTAATAAAAATTAACATTTAGTAAAACAAAAATCCTGAACGAGCTCACAGACTTGCTTCAAATACTAAAATAGTGAGAGGAATAAAGCGCACATACATAAAAAATACTACATTACTGTTTAATAGGCAACTTTTTCAATAAAGTAAAAATTTCAATTTTGTAGATAATTTCTTATATAATCTAGCATGATTTTTTTTACTTCTATTACCCGAAGTACCCTATTTTCAACACTTGTCATATCAGCCTTGCTCATGCCACCTAAACTAAATTTAGGATTCTCATCCCATGAAACAAAATTTTGTTTTTATCAACTGCACATCTTAAATAACATAATATTTACATATTTGTACATGTTAATCTTTAGCGGTTTACAAATTTCAACTGATTATATATTTATGACCTCCTAAACAGTCATAAAAATGTAAGGAAAGACTACAATCTACATACATGTATGTATGCAAACCATAATTACTGCATACCAATGTTACAAAGTGATAAAAATAAGCAGCCTGACCAGGACTCTAACCCAGGACCCTCCGAATACCAACTGATTACACATATACAATGTAGTGAACCGTGACATACTCCTCCGCTACATGTACATGTATATTGAAATTTGTTCACATATTTCTTAGGGTTAAATAAACTCTTGACTTATATGCAGTCACTGTCCCCTGTTGGGTGCAAAATGTCACAGGATAAAACAAGCATAATATGAAATCAATTCAAACTGCAAGTTAATATAACATGTATACAAAAAATCTGAAAACTTATAAAGGTCAAAGCTGACTTATGAAACAAAGTTAAATAATAAATGAACTATTATTTAACATCAATAATCATGTACTTACCACTATGATCGCACATTTATCTGGTCGTATTGCCCCATATATTCCAATGATACAGAACAGAACAACGATGGCTCCTGTGGCAATAAAGATGTAGACCGCTACGGTGTATTTGGTGAGTTCCTCACTAGCTGCCGCATACTGGTTCAACCAATAATCTACACGCAGGTAGATTGAGAACCCTAGAATAGCTGCACCTATCAACTGTAAATAATATATATAGAAATTATATTTAAAATCATTTTTATATAAAACTCTTTACTAGTAAATGATTTAACTTTGTCAGATCCATGGGTTTTAATCATTAAGGGAGTATGACTGTATGGCAAGTGGAAAATGCACAGCTTTCATCATGAGTGCCCCTTTGCCTATTATTATTGACACAAGTAAGTGCATGTACCTGAGTAGAACCATCAACCTTTTCATTCCTTAAATTTCTCTGTAAGCTATCACCTAATGAATACAATTAATATCCCTTGAGAGTCCCTAGTCAAGGGATTAGAGTGCATAGCAATGGCGCAGCCAGACCTGTTTTTAGATCGCGACAAATTAGGGGGTCCGGGGCATTTTCCCCCGAAATTTTTTTTTACCCACAATGTCTCTGGTACGATTTTGAGCACTTTGGGACAAGCTTTTCGTTATTCTGAATTTAATCATCTTTATACCATTTTAGTAAATTGTACATTAAACAAGAATATTTTATGTTCTTAACAAGAAATATATTTTATTTATCTATTCACTCAGGTTCACAGTTTCATGAAAAAGCTATTTAAGGCAATTCTTCTGTTTCCAGGAGAATCCCATACAAAAAATGTAACTTTAAAATCTCAATATAGTCAATGGATATTTATCAAAGCTATATTTGTAGACCATCTCGGTGTGGTAGGCCTAAGATGTGGTGACCAATTCGAAAATACCGGTCGCAACTTTGGAACAACAACCCTTATTTGCTTCAATCTGTTTTAATTGATACCGAAGGGTTTTTTTTATATTATTTTCAAGACAGATTTTTCTACCTATTATATTGAAATTTTTTATGAACTTCTTAAACTTTCACCAAGGCAACTTCCTCGGTTTGCCTCAGCATGGACTGTGCAGGAAAATTAAGAAGTTTAACATTTTATCATCAGTGTTAAAAAACAGTAATTGAATTAAGGGATAAATCAGTCATGCTATGTATAAAAGCTTACAAAGCACAAATTCTATTCTATTTCCATTTTAAAGACAGTACTTGAGACATAAGTGTGATAATTTATAATAATCATATGTGATGTTACATGTAATCTGAGACTGAAACATATGTTAACTCCTTGAAAACTTTGTAATATGTTCATAGAAAACATTTGGGCTAGATTTCTTTTCTTCCTCAAATAATTTGCAATAAAAAACACCAAACAATTAAACAAAAATAATTGGAAATATTACATTGCTCTTTACTACATGTATAATATATCAAGAGTGCCTCTTATTTTAGAGCAGATTGCCTTTGAAGATAACAGAAAATAAGCTGTTGTAATTATAGTTCAAAATCCCTGTTCAAATATATCAAATAGTTAATTGATTTAGTAAAATATCACTTTAAAACATTTGTTTTCTTAGACATTTTTGCTTTGGAAACAAACAATCAGTTAATGATCAGCCATTTATGATTGTAATAAACATGTACCTTCTTTTTATTGTATATTATATTACTTAATTCTTTCATTAGAGTTATTTCTAGATTAGGCTCCAGACAAGTAAATTTTCAAGGTGATTGCTCACATGAGCAAATGGTTTCACAATTGAAGATCGAACCTGGACTCACAGTATAAAAGTTAACTTCCTGTTTTTGCAATAAGGTTCAAGTTGAAATATAAAGGCTTCTAAGAAAAGTACAGTTATCAGAAATAACACATGCTTGTTATCAAAAGACAGGGTAATGAATTATATAGGCTTGCAAAACAGGGTACAGGGATTTCATAACAATTTTATGAATTGATTATATACTGTGGGAATATGTTTAAAATAAGAATGTTCAAAATGAAATATATTCAAATTGTAATTTAAGAATGTTTGACAGCTTGTCATTAAATTATTTTATCAAGTTTCAAGTTATGCTTCTATAAAGAAAACAAATATATTAAGTTATAATATTAATTTTTACACTTTTAAAAATTAGTCCAACTATAAAATGTACTATACATTGAGATATTGAGCTATTTTGTATATGGGCAATATCTCCCAAGAAGCAATAATCTGGCCTAGAACAAAAATATCTCAGAATCTAACTTTGGCATGTCACATACATGTGAACTTTTTATGATGATCAAGAGGGAGATTTTACCTCAAAAAGAGTTTGAATAAACAAAGAAGGAAGTTCTGACATAAAAAAAATAGAGAGATTTCTTTAATTTGTGAAATGCCCCTTATTTTAAGAAAAATCTTTGAAAATATGACTGCCAAAAGTGGGATACTCCCTCTAAAAGTCGGAAAGTTCACATGTATGGTGTCATTATTGTTGTTGGGCTCTGATAATTGCGTCAATTACCGACGGTATACAAGTTTGTCCATCATTAAGGAAAGTTTGCATGTTTCATGAAACGCATTGTCAGTCCCTTGGTAGGCTTTAATTAAGGCTAATTAATTGATTGTGCTTTTATGTTAGATATTTATCTCCTGTATTTGAAAATTATACAATTATTTTTGCTTTTTACCGTTTTATTTTCAATGTTCTTTTTATTTATCCCACTCCGATCATTATTTATTCGATCCATGTGCTTAATTAACAAAAATTCATCTTTCATACAAATAAAACAACAAATTATAATCATGAGGCACAAGATAACATATGCATGTTCGACTTCCATATAATTTTGAAAAGTGCCGTACGGCTAGACAGTACAGGCTAGTCGTACGTGACTCACGTACGGCTAGAACTTTTGGCTAGCCATACGGGCCCGTACGGCTAGCCAATTCCAAAATTAATATTCCAGTGAAGGTCTACTCTGGTTTTGAAGGTATCAAAATTTGTTTGTGCCGAAACAACCCTTTCTGGCAGTTCGTTCCACAATGGAGAAAGTTTTTATGCAGTAAAAGTCCCATGTTTAATGTTGGTTTGCAAACTTTAAGATATGTCCTCACCTGTAGTAGTTGATATGTTTTCTTTCTTTAAAAATCTTTCTTAATTAGATCTAACTGAATATTTTCAATTAGTATCTCATGGGTAAAATTTCTATTGAATCACTTAGGTGTCTGACTTTCAAGCCATACATATTTTACTTTTTCATAAATAATGAAAGTTGTAGATATCACTTTATTACCTAAGAGAACAGGTTTATGTCATTATGTCTTGTTTATGTCTACTGTACTGTCTGGTCTTTATCTGTCTAGTTTAGTATGAACATATTTTAGCATAATGAAGTTTCTATACTTACCAAAAGCAAAACACCTAAAATGATCGTTAAAATCCGGAAGCAAAGAGAAATTCTTGATGAACTCATTTTGTCAATTTCAACTTCTATTTGTGAGTCATGACAAATGAAAATACAAAATTTGTGTCAATTAGTGAAGATGCAACAATAAACTTGCTTCCGCCACCGCTAGATGTCGCTGTTAACCGGTGTCGATGTAAACAAAAAAGACAACATGTGTGTGTGTGACATAAATTTTGCAGTTTATTGATAAGTTTGATGTATTACAATTGTTTAGTTAAAGGTGACACTACTTTTTTACAAAAAAGATTGCATTCAATTTTATACTTGAATTGTCAGTAAAGATTTAAGTTGTTAAATTTTACTAGCGAAATTTGCCAATTTGAAACAGATTCTTATAAGACGGTGTTTGTTTAAAAATGTCCCCGTCTAAATAGTCCACAAACATTTTTGATTAACTTTGAATTAAATTATTATTAGCAATTATCTTGACTATAATAAATGCATTATACTTCCGTATTAGGTGAATAGGTATTTTATGCATTTGTCTGTTCTTTGTGGCTTGTCAGCTAGCAATTGACTAATACTGCTGGTACGTATTGCAGGATTTTTTGGCTCCAAGTCCAAAATAGAGGAGGTTATATCCAGCTAACATTGTTAGAACATATAGTGTGTATTTTATGGTGCGACTCTCTGCATGGCAGGGATTTCGAAAAAAAAATTTAAGTCAAAGTCCAGCAGTTCTCATAGAGAGGTGCATGAGGGTCTGGTCTATTATGGCTGCTGTCAAAAATGAAATTAAATTGGTCACTGTCAAATGTCAAGTTGAAGGAAGAGTTAGACACCGAGTGTAACACATTTGGGAATTTTTATTTCAGTTTTAGGTCTGAAAATATATTTATTTTTGTTCCTATCAGGATCAAATTATAAAGTTTTATTAACATATAAGTTTAGATGTCTCAATTTTGGTCAAATTTTAAAGAAACTTGATCAGAACGTACTTACAGATAGATGAAAAAGGGTTGTTTGGGACAAGACACAATGTCAGAAGAAAGGAAAACCTAAAATCTGTAGGTCTCAAGTTCATACAATTTTTTAGCTCACCTGTCACAAAGTGACAGGGTGAGCTTTTGTGATCGCTTTTCGTCCGGCGTCCGTCCGGTGTCCGTCCGGCGTCCGTCCGTAAACTTTTACTTTAAATGACATCTCCTCATAAACCACTAAGCCAATTTCATCCAAACTTCACAGGAATGTTCCTTTGGTGGTCACCTTTAAAAATTGTTCAAAGAATTTAATTCCATGCAGAACTCTGGTTGCAATGGCAACCGAAAGAAAAAACTTTAAATATCTTCTTTTAAAAAACCAGGGCTCACGCTGGCAGGAGCCAATGAGGAAATTGGCTCCAAAATATTTAATTTGGCTCATTTAGAAAATCACAATTGGCTCAAACTTACGAAAAGTATGACTTTCGGAATATCCAGTCTAATTTTAGATCCCGCTATTTTAAGAATGGGAAAACACGGTCTGGTTGTCGAATTACAGCTTCCGTTTTACTGCTTTTTATCTTAAAACACGCGATACAGTCTAGATTTTGAAGGTCATTGACTGGTTTATGCACGTTACTTCCTCTCGGTAAAGAAAATCGATACGAATAGTAATACAGTCTAGTAAAATGACCTTGTGTTGTGTATTGTTTACACAAGTGATAAATATGACACTAATTGGCGTGAAAACTTCAATGATTGCTGTGTGCCGAATTGTTAGATGCACTGGATAATTGATCTAAATATTAAACAATTAATAGCGGTACCTTAAGATTATCGCTAATCAAATTAGCGGCTTTAAATTCAAAAGAAAGTACGACAATGTTTAGCTGGAAACATTTAAAGAAGGTGTCGGTAAGTTTGCATTAATTACAATTTTTTTTCAATATTAAACAGATCAAACGGATTTTGAGTAATTCAGTAAAGGTATATATGCTTGCTGTTTTTTTCCTCACACAAATTGCCTATTTTGATCAGATTGAATCATGGCTTCAAAACGTAAATTTAACTCTGATTGTGAAAATAAGCAGCCAAATAAAAAAACAAAATTTGATGCTCCAAGAGCTTTCCAGGAAAGTTGGAAAATTGGAAAAACTTGGTTGAAATATGATAATGAAACAAAATCTATGCTTTGCAACCTTTGTTTGAAACACAAAAAAACTCCTTCACATCTGGCTGTACAGTTCTGAAAAGAAGACTCTGTATCAAAGCATTCAAAATGCAAAGGTAATTGGCCATATTTATTTTTACTTTCAAAGATTTCTTGTGAATTGTTTGCTGAATAATTTCTTAAATTCAGTATATATTGCTATTTCAGATCATATAGATTGTGTACAACAAATCACTGGCAGTTACGATGCAAACACCCCAACAGAATGCTTTAGGAAAAAGTGAGGATGCTGTCATTTCTGCTCTACGAAATGTGTATTCTGCAGCCAAACATGACCTAGCAAATGTGATTGTTCCTGATATGAATGATTTATCATCAAGCAGGTATGTATTCAGATTGTCATTAATATCATGTGGATTTTTTTATTTATTTTTTTATAAAGCAAGAAGAAATATTTTATAAAGATGTACATAAACAGAGTAAAATGTTACGGAACAAAATTTTCTGCTGCGATGATTTCAGACTTGCCCTACTCGCACTTAGTTAATTCTATGTATTCTGTCATCAATTCATTTTAAACACAACAAAAAAATGATTTTCCAATAGAGGGATAAAATAATTTTACAGCAAAAAGACAGCTTTAAAATAAACATTTGTGATTTAAATATATTCATTATATTTTATGTTGCTGTAACAGGAAAGTCCATTTCATTGTATACATGTTTCCAGTTATTCCAATTTTTTTTCTAGGGTGTAACACAGTTGAAAGACTTGAGAGTTGACAACCATACAACATATGAGCATCACTCTAGTATTGGAGAGTTCCAGGAGGCACTTGCTGGTGTTCTTCGAGAAGATCTGGCAGTGAAATTACAGAGATTTCCTAAATATTCTCTTATGTTTGATGAATCAACAGACATTTCTGTGCAGCAAAACTTAATTGTGTACATTAGGTATCTTGATTGTGATATTGCTGAAAATGTAGAAAGTAAAACTTGTTATTATTCCATTGCTTCTCTCCACAGGGCAAATGCAGATGCTATTTACACCAAAATTCTCCATTTACTTTCTGAGAAAGGCCTATATCTTGCCAATATTTGTGATGTTTGTACAGATGGTGCTGCGGTCATGGTAGGCTCTAAAAGTGGTGTGGTGACCCGTCTGAAGAAAGATGTTCCTGGACTCTATACTTCTCACTGCATTGTCCACCGTCTTGCTCTTAGCTGCAGCAGTGGTGCAGACTGTATACCTTACCTTGTTTAATTTCAGGAGATCCTTAACTCTATCTATAAATACTTTCATCTTTCTCCTAAAAACATGTCTACTCTTTCTGCTATCCAGTCTGTGTTACAGAAGCATTCTTTTCGCTTTCAGGAAGTGTTTCATACCAGATGGCTGAGTTTTGAAGGTGCAGTTGGTGCTCTGGTCAAAAATTACTCCAGTCTCCTTTCTTGCTTTCTTGAAGAAAACTCTGCTAAGGCTCTTTCTCTATACAAACCTGTTGCTACATACAAGTTCCTGTATGTTGCCCACTTTCTTTCTGATGTTCTTGAGCCCCTTGCTATTTTGTCTAAAATGTACCAGAAGAAAGATCTCAACTATGGAGAAGTGGAGCCACTCCTGACATCTACAGTACACACCTTGGAGACCCTGAAGGAGAACAAAAATGGTACTTCCCTCTCTGCTTTTCTTTCAGTTGCCCCCTCTGAACCTTGTCTGGATGAAAATGGTCTTTGTACTTTTGAGTTTCAGTCACACACTATCCGTGATTCTGCTGAACAGAGGCGTGTTGCTTCATCTGTCTGTGACCAATTTGTTGATTCAATGGTAGCCAGTCTCCATTCCAGATTTGCAGACAATGAGGATTCAGCTGTTATGAAAGCCCTTGGGAATCTTTTCAATCCCCACCTTTCTTCTGTTGGCTCTGATATTGACACTGTTTCAGATTATTTGGGCAAAGTTGGTTTTGAAGGGAGAAGGAATGAACTTCTGAGCTTTGTCCATTACTCTAGGGCTTTAGGGTCTGATCCAAGCAACCAAACAGTGACTGATTCCACTTCATGTGCCAATTTAGCAATCAACAACAAGTCTAGTTACCCTGCTGCTGCAGTGGCTGCCCAGAGATTCCTGATTCTGCCTGTGTCAACAGCTGACTGTGAGAGGGTCTTCTCCAAGCAAAACCTAATAAAAACTTCACTCAGAAACTGTCTGTCTCCCCCCTCCCTTGACAATCTCCTGAAAATTTCCATAGATGGCCCTTCTCTGCCTACATTCCCATACCAAAGAGCCTTCAGACTGTGGTCAACATCCAAGAGTAGAAGAATTCTGAAATAAATTGCCAAGCCCCTTCCTGATCCCTTGCAAACACATGTTACAGAATCCAGTCCCCTTCCTGATGCAAGCCACTATTAACATGCATTTTTAAAAATGTGTTATTCTAAGTAGCATAATATGATATTGTTAAGCATTAAATATATTATGTATGAGATATGATATGTATGATATATGATGTGCTAATGTTATTAAAATTTACCTTAAAAAATAAAAAGTTGAATGATATTCCTTGTTTTTGTTGATATCACATGCCTTTTAAAGTGTTCATTAAGTAGCAGAAATAAACCATTATATGTAAAGTAATTATAGAGATAGTAAAGTTCATACAGACTGTTAAAGAGAAACAGCAAAGACAGTAATTTTGATGTCAGCCTGTCGCGCGAAAAATTGGCTCAAAGAAAAAATTAGCCAGTGCTAGCCCTGAAAACCATAAGAGCTAGAGCTTAGATATTTGGCATGAAACATCTTCTAGTGAGTGTCTACCAAATTTGTTCAAATAACAGCCCTGGGGTCAAAATTGGCCCCGCCCTGGGGGGTCATTGATTTTCCCTATATGCATATAGTAAAAACTTAAAAAATCTTCTTTTAAAGAACCCAAAGAGCTAGAGCTAAGATATTTAGCATGAAACATGTTCTAATGGGTGTCTACCAAGTTTGTTCAAATAAAAGCCCTGGGGTCAAAATTGGCCCCGCCCCGGGGGGTCATTGATTTTCCCTATATGCATATAGTAAAAACTTAAAAAATCTTCTTTTAAAGAACTCAAAGAGCTATGGCTAAGATATTGAGCATCAAACATGTTCTAATAGGTGTCTACCAAGTTTGTTCAAATAAAAGCCCTGGGGTCAAAATTGGCCCCGCCCCAGGGGGTCATTGATTTTCCCTATATGCATATAGTAAAAACTTAAAAAATCTTCTTTTAAAGAACCAAAAGAGTTAGAGCTAAGATATTTAGCATGAAACATGTTCTAATAAGTGTCTACCAAGTTTGTTCAAATAAAAGCCCTGGGGTCAAAATTGGCCCCGCCCCGGGGGGTCATTGATTTTCCCTATATGCATATAGTAAAAACTTAAAAAATCTTCTTTTAAAGAACTCAAAGAGCTATGGCTAAGATATTGAGCATCAAACATGTTCTAATAGGTGTCTACCAAGTTTGTTCAAATAAAAGCCCTGGGGTCAAAATTGGCCCCGCCCCAGGGGGTCATTGATTTTCCCTATATGCATATAGTAAAAACTTAAAAAATCTTCTTTTAAAGAACCAAAAGAGTTAGAGCTAAGATATTTAGCATGAAACATGTTCTAATAAGTGTCTACCAAGTTTGTTCAAATAAAAGCCCTGGGGTCAAAATTGGCCCCGCCCCGGGGGGTCATTGATTTTCCCTATATGCATATAGTAAAAACTTAAAAAATCTTCTTTTAAAGAACTCAAAGAGCTATGGCTAAGATATTTAGCATCAAACATGTTCTAATAGGTGTCTACCAAGTTTGTTCAAATAAAAGCCCTGGGGTCAAAATTGGCACCGCCCCGGGGGTCATTTATTTTCCTTATATGTGTATAGCAAAAACTTAAAAAATCTTCTTTGAAAAAACCCAAATAGCTAGAGTTAAGATATTAAGCATGAAACATCTTTTAGTGAGTGTCTACAAAGTTTGTTCAAATAAAAGACCTGGGGTCAAAATTGGCCCCGCCCCGGGGGTCATTGATTTTCTTTATATGTGTATAGCAAAAACTTAAAAATCTTCTTTGAAAAAACCCAAATAGCTAGAGTTTAGATATTAAGCATGAAACATCTTCTAGTAAGTGTCTACCAAGTTTGTTCAAATAAAAGCCCTGGGGTCAAAACTGGCCCGGCCCCAGGGGTGTCATTGTTTTTAACTATATGTGTATAGTAAAAACTTTAAAAAAATCTTCTTTTAAAAAGCCCAATGAGCTAGAGCTTAGATGTTTAGCATGAAACATCTTCTTATGGGTGTCTACCAAGTTTGTGCAAATAAAAGCCCTTGGGTTAAATTGGCCCTGCAACGTTGGGGTGGGGGTTGGGGGGCCTATATACATGTACAGGTGAGCGACCTCAGGGCCATCATGGCCCTCTTGTTTACAAAACATGGCCTTAGAACTGAGCTCAATAAAATTTCAATATGCATGTATCTAGGATCTCTAATTAGGTCATTCATAGAAAGACCATCTTAATGCATGGTCCTCTATCTACAATGTACAGTACATGAACGTTATTAACATGCTAATGTCTGGCTTTTTATTTTAGAGAAAAACATAAACCATACCTAGGGTCTGGAATATCATATTACAAAGAAGATGGCAAGTGGATGTAACAGGCATTTGTTAACACGACTGCTACATTGTTCCCATAGGAACACTGCAATGAGACTTATGTGGAGAACTTTCTCATCTTTTAAGTTTGCTCCATGTCTCAGTGCAGACAGTAAAACTATTGTCACTAGAAAATTTGCTGGCAGGAAATGTTCAGTCTGCAAGAGCTGTCACAGTGATTCGGCAGGGAGTTCTCCAAACACAAGTATAGATGACAACTGCACAGAGACAAATGTTGACTTTGTCAGAGAGAGTCCTAGAGGACACCTAAGCCAGAAGAAACATTCAAAAGGACGCAAAAAGTCTGGACAAAATACAGATCTACACATACCTGTCCTGAAAGATGAAGTGCTGTCTTATCTTGGAGGAAAATCTAGCCAGGTGGGAGTTTATTTAATTTCATTATAAGTTTTTATTTTTGCATCGTTCTGCAGTTGTCAATTAATAATGTTTACAAGTTAGTAGTATAAATTTGATGTTTCATCAAATTTTGTTTTACAATAAAATTACTGCAAAGCATATATGTGTTTTATTGCAAAACTTAACAAAGGTCTTTGTGAGGTAATGTCAAGGTACTTATTATTACTTATATGTAATTAAGTTCATTCTTTTATTAAATGGTGCTTATTAAAGGTTTTTATATGAATATTCTTGAGCTTACTAAAGGTACTTGGAGGCGAGCTTTGGATTTTGCCTCATGTCTTATTAAAATTTATCACACACCCGTGCCGATTTTGCGACTCCGTAAATATGGTATTGCACGGCCGTGCATATATTTTGACGTGACGTCATTAGCGTTATACAAACATAGTGTAAAGAGCGCTAAATGTTAGCGTTACAATATAGGCGCGTCAATGAAAAATGGCTCTTATTTCACTTTAAACGGTCTTTATTTTGGGTATGTGATAAATAGAATATTGAATTCGTGTAAGTTCCATACTGAATTTATTGCACTCGTTAAATAAAATAATATTATGCTCGCCAGAGGCTCGCATAATATAATTTTATTCAACTCGTGCAATAAATTCAGTATGGAACTTACACTCATTCAATATCCTCTATATAACATAGATCTATTAGATATTTGAATAGACTGTGACACATGTTATATATAAACATCCTATATTTGCAGGGAAAAAAAAACACATGAAAAAATCTTGTATTTTAGCATACATATATATTTATTAAATATATTTTCAAATTATAAGAAAAATCATTTATTATTTATTATTTCAGCGTTTACTGGACATGACATTTGGAGCAGGTGGGCATACAAAAGCTTTGTTAGAGAGCGGACAAGGATACCATATATACACACTAGACAGGGATCCACTTGCTTACAAAATTGCTTGTGAACTTGCTGAACAAAGGTATTACTAAAGGTTTGACAAAACATTTTCAGCAGGACTGAATTATGCTATATATTTTCAACATTTTCTCATCTTTTTACAAAAATGCATTTGTATTTAACTTGTGATATCATTGTTAGTAAAATAAAAGCTGAAAATGAAATTAAGTTTATCCCAGTTGACAAAATTGTAATAGTTTTATCTTGGAAATTTCAGAAAAAAAGTGATTTTTTTTCCAAAATCCCTGGAGTTTTTTCTGTATCACCATAAAACTTCTTTGTTTAAAAATTAATTCAGACATTGAGTCCATAAAGTTTTGTTTTTAGCTCACCTGTCACAAAGTGACAGGGTGAGCTTTTGTGATCGCTTTTCGTCCGGCGTCCGTCCGTCCGTCCGTCGTCCGTCCGGCGTCCGTCCGTCCGTAAACTTTTGCTTTAAATGACATCTCCTCATAAACCACTGAGCCAATTTCATCCAAACTTCACAGGAATGTTCCTTTGGTGGTCACCTTTAAAAATTGTTCAAAGAATTTAATTCCATGCAGAACTCTGGTTGCCATGGCAACCAAAAGAAAAAACTTTAAATATCTTCTTTTAAAAAACCATAAGAGCTAGAGCTTAGATATTTGGCATGAAACATATTCTAGTGAGTGTCTACCAAGTTTGTTCAAATAAAAGCCCTGGGGTCAAAATTGGCCCCGCCCCTGGGGGGTCATTGATTTTCCCTATATGCATATAGTAAAAACTTAAAAAATCTTCTTTTAAAAAACCGTAAGAGCTAGAGCTTAGATATTTGGCATGAAACATCTTCTAGTGAATGTCTACCAAGTTTGTTCAAATAAGAGCCCTGGGGTCAAAATTGGCCCCGACCCAGGGGGTCATTGATTTTCCCTATATGCATATAGTAAAAACTTAAAAATTCTTCTTTTAAAGAACCCAAAGAGCTAGAGCTAAGATATTAAGCATGAAACATCTTCTAGTGAGTGTCTACCAAGTTTGTTCAAATTAAAGCCCTTGGGTCAAAATTGGCCCCGCCCCGGGGGTCATTGATTTTTCCTATATGCATATAGTAAAAACTTAAAAATCTTCTTTTAAAGAACCATAAGAGCTAGAGCTTAGATATTTGGCATGAAACATCTTCTAGTGAATGTCTACCAAGTTTGTTCAAATAAAAGCCCTGGGGTCAAAATTGACCCCGCCCCAGGGGGTCATAGATTTTCCCTATATGCATATAGTAAAAACTTTAAAAATTTTCTTTTAAAGAACCCAAAGAGCTAGAGCTAAGATATTAAGCATGAAACATCTTCTAGTGAGTGTCTACCAAGTTTGTTCAAATTAAAGCCCTGGGGTCAAAATTGGCCCCGCCCCGGGGGTCATTGATTTTCCCTATATGCATATAGTAAAAACTTAAAAAATCTTCTTTTAAAGAACCATAAGAGCTAGAGCTAAGATATTAAGCATGAAACATCTTCTAGTGAGTGTCTACCAAGTTTGTTCAAATAAAAGCCCTGGGGTCAAAATTGGCCCCGCCCCTGGGGGGTCATTGATTTTCCATATATGCATATAGTAAAAACTTAAAAAATCTTCTTTTAAAAAAACGTAAGAGCTAGAGCTTAGATATTTGGCATGAAACATCTTCTAGTGAATGTCTACCAAGTTTGTTCAAATAAAAGCCCTGGGGTCAAAATTGGCCCCGACCCAGGGGGTCATTGATTTTCCCTATATGCATATAGTAAAAACTTAAAAAATCTTCTTTTAAAGGACCCAAAGAGCTAGAGCTAAGATATTAAGCATGAAACATCTTCTAGTGAGTGTCTACCAAGTTTGTTCAAATTAAAGCCATGGGGTCAAAATTGGCCCCGCCCCGGGGGTCATTGATTTTCCCTATATGCATATAGTAAAAACTTAAAAATCTTCTTTTAAAGAACTATAAGAGCTAGAGCTTAGATATTTGGCATGAAACATCTTCTAGTGAATGTCTACCAAGTTTGTTCAAATAAAAGCCCTGGGGTCAAAATTGACCCCGCCTCAGGGGGTCATAGAATTTCCCTATATGCATATAGTAAAAACTTAAAAAATTTTTCTTTTAAAGAACCCAAAGAGCTAGAGCTAAGATATTAAGCATGAAACATCTTCTAGTGAGTGTCTACCAAGTTTGTTCAAATTAAAGCCCTGGGGTCAAAATTGGCCCCGCCCCGGGGGTCATTGATTTTCCCTATATGCATATAGTAAAAACTTAAAAAATCTTCTTTTAAAGAACCATAAGAGCTAGAGCTTAGATATTTGGCATGAAACATCTTCTAGTGAATGTCTACCAAGTTTGTTCAAATAAAAGCCCTGGGGTCAAAATTGACCCTGCCCCAGGGGGTCATAGATTTTCCCTATATGCATATAGTAAAAACTTAAAAAGTCTTCTTTTAAAGAACCCAAAGAGCTAGAGCTAAGATATTTAGCTTGAAACATCTTCTAATGAGTGTCTACCAAGTTTGTTCAAATAAAAGCTCTGGGGTCAAAATTGGCCCCGCCCCAGGGGGTCATTGATTTTCCCTATATGCATATAGTAAAAACTTAAAAATCTTATTTTAAAGAACTCAAAGAGCTAGAGCTAAGATATTTAGCATGAAACATGTTCTAATGGGTGTCTACCAAGTATGTTCAAATAAAAGCCCTGGGGTCAAAACTGGCCCCGCCCGGGGGGGGGGGGGGGGGGGGTCATTGATTTTCCTTATATGTGTATAGCAAAAACTTAAAAATCTTCTTTCGAAAAACCCAAATAGCTAGAGTTTAGATATTAAGCATGAAACATCTTTAAGTAAATATCTACAAAGTTTGTTAAAATAAACGCCCGGGGGTCAAAACTGGCCCTGCCCCAGGGGTGACATTGTTTTTAACTATATGTGTATAGTAAAAACTTTAAAAATCTTCTTTTAAAAATGCCAATGAGCTAGAACTTAGATGTTTAGCATGAAACATCTTCTTATGGGTGTCTACCAAGTCTGTTCAAATAAACAAATAAAAGGCCCCTTGGGTAAAAATTGGCCCGGGGGTGGGGGGCCTATATACAGGTGAGCGACCTCAGGGCCATCATGGCCCTCTTGTTTTATCTCACGGTTGATTCAGTATAGTAGTCTGTCACTTGTGAAAAAAATGGTAATTACTGTTTACTTATCCAGGAAAACATGGATGACGGCTGAGATATTACCAAAAATGTGTTAAAACCGACATTTAAACCAAACAACAAAACTATCTAGAGACTTTACTTAAATTGCAGACCAGGTCAGATAACTCCTTTACTTGGAAGATTCTCAGAGTTACCAGCCTTGCTTGCAGCAAAAGATGTTTCATTTGACTCCCTAGATGGCGCCTTGTTTGATCTTGGCTCCTCCTCCATGCAGTTTGACCAGTCAGAGAGAGGATTTAGCCTTAGTATGGATGGCCCACTAGACATGAGAATGGATGCTGATAGGTAATAAAAGTAAATTGTTTAGTATATATAGTGTAATATTGATACTTTTGTTGTACCCCAACTAAGGGATGGCATATAGATTTGCCTTAGTCTGTCACATTGTACGTCTGTAGGCTGACAATGATACAAATGTAGTGTAGGATGTTGTGGGCATTAGTGCCCTATGAACACATTGCTAGTTTACTTTTTCTTACATAATTGTTGAAGTTAAAGAAATTAGTCAAGGAGGCATTAAAGAGCTTAACCCTTTACTTGAGGAGTAGAGGCTGATTGGTAGCTTAATTTTTGTATTTTTATATTGAAATCCCTTTAAATGTTCAATGGAATGTTCCAAATTCAAAGATGGACAAATCCATTTCATATTGCAGGTAAAGTGCTAAATACATTGTATCTGATTAGCTGAATATTTGACTATGATAAGAAATTTTTTTTTATTAAGAACAAGGGTAGAACAATACCCTCAGCTTATGATATGATATATTCATGTTATATGATCAAGGTTCTTGATATTACTGTAGATATGTATCACAATATACATTGTACATCTGTGGGGGGAATGAAGACAGAATAAATCATTTAAATTTTATTTCAACTTAGTTACTTTACTGCATTGTATATTGTAAAAATATCATAAGTACCAGGTGAATGCACACATCACTTATAATGCTAAACAGTAACTGTTATAGTTGTGACTTTGATAGGTTGCTGACTTGAGATCACAGGTCCCTCACCGCTGTAGGTTCGATCCTCACTTTGGTCGAAATCTTTCATGTGAGGAAGCCATCCAGCTGGCTGACAGAAGGTCTGTGGTTCTTCCCAGGTGCCCGCTTGTGCCTGAAATAATGCCCGGAGGGGCACCTTGGTTCTTCCTCCACCAATTAAAGCTGGAAAAAAATCGACGAAAAAATCTCAGCGGGACGCTCTAGGATGGCCTGACTTGAGTGTACGGTCGCCAATATGGGCTTTCTGGCGGCGACCTTAAATAAACGCATTAAAAAAAAAAAGAAATAGTTGTGACTTGAAAGGTTGCTTGACCAGCCATTGTGTTAGAGTTTTTATAATAGTTCACTATTATATCTTCAGGTTGCCAGACCAGCCTACAGCAGCTGATGTTGTGAATACTCTGGATGAGTTAGAACTTGCCAAGATATTTAAGAAGTATGGGGAAGACACAAGATCGAAGAAGTTTGCTCATGCTATAGTTGAAGCGAGATCAGCTTTTGGGAGGATCACAGGAACAAAAGAACTTGCAGATATTATACAGACAGTTTCTGGAGGGTAATCACCTATGGCTAATGTTAATAAATGATACAATTGCATAACATATTATCGTAATATTAATATTTTGATGTCTTTTATCATAAAACAATATACTGTTTCTTGAAATTGCTTCATGTACTTTAAGTTGACCCGGCTCAGTTTTATAGGCATTGCTTTATAAAGATAAATTGTGAAAGTAAGATAGGGCAAGCGGTTAACATGTAAAGCTATTTATAAAAAGATCACTAGACGCATGGGTTCAAACCTTGTCAGGGGCAAGTCATTGTTTTCTTGAGCAAGAAACTTTACACTCATTGCTCAGTACTGGTTGGTTCAAGGTACAGATTCGAAAGTGTATCTACATAATAAGCTTATAGTTTCTTACACAATCTAACTAAAATTAATGCTGTATAAACCAAATTGTCTCTGAACAGCTATTAATACTGGATTAGGACATATATTTTAGTTTGAATACCTATAATCAAGACTGAAGTGATACTTTGATGTTTCATTGTTTAGATTTTTGATGAGCTATAAGCACATGTGTAGTGTTTTAACTACTTATTGTTTCATATGAAGTAATAGTCTGCACTTTTACTTCCTGACTTATGGACTTCCATGGCCAGCAACTTCAAATCATGTGCTCTACACCAATTTGGGTTTGAACCCCATCAAGGCTTTGGATTCTATTTTTTCGTGAGGAAGCTATCAAACTAGCTTATAGAAGGCATGTGCCTAAAAAAATGCATGACGGGGTACCCAAGTTGTTTCCTCACTAGTAAAGCTGGAAAGATGGCATATGATCGTAACAGTGTCAATGTTACTTAAAATCCAACAAAACAAACAGACATTTCCCAACTTTTAATCACTTGTTCCTCACAGCAGTTGGTTCATATCCTTCCAGGGACTGCAAGGTTATTTAAGATATATGTAAGATATCCAGCTAGCTTAATATTGAATGTCAGTGTTTCTACATAGGTGCCTGGTCAAGTCTAAAGTAATGCAAATTCTTCCTCAGCCAGGAATGCTTAGAAAAACTCACTACATGTATATGACCAGTCACCTGACCTGTACAGTTTCACTTTAAACCCAAATGAGAAAATGATACTTATTATTAATAATAGCAATTTACATAAACATTTCATCCTTTAATTTTCCTTGTTTTAATTCTTAGGATGTTAGAATACAAATACATGTACATGTATGTCTGTTGAAAATTCACTTTATAAAACAATAGCTGTGTATATTTTACAGAGCATTTGGACATGACAGTCTCGGGAGGTACAGTCATCCAGCCACGAAGATTTTCCAAGCTCTCCGTATCTTTGTCAACAATGAAATGAATGAACTAAATAATGGTATAGAAGTGGTGCATAAGTTTCTAAAGCCAGGCGGGATATGTGTAGCTATTTCCTTCCACTCTTTAGAGGACAGAATTGTTAAAAGACATTTTAACACTGTGGATATAGACCAAAAAATTAATATGTCTTTGGTTCAAAAACATCGTCTGATGAGTAGATTAGCCGATTCGAAATCAGAGTTAGATTCAATGGTTATACGCAAGTGGAAGCGGATTAATAAAAAGGTTACAATGGCGACGGATTCTGAGGTAGAAGCAAATCCCCGTAGTCGATCAGCCAAATTACGAGCAGCCATGAAACTTGAAATTAAGTCATGAAAATATCTATAAAAAATACTAATACTTGAAAATATGTTTGTAAGATATTAGTAGTAATTAAAAAATAAGTGGTTTGATTTAACAGTTTGAAAGCGTGTTAAATTATTTTAGAGGTGAATAGACTGAGGACTACCAGATTTGAGTCTTTGGTCGGTCATAAGTACCTGCCAACAGGTGGTTTAAATAAATGGGAAAAAGTTAATTCTTGACCTGCTGAAAAACTTCTTAATGGACCTGTCCAACCTCCATAGTTTTGTTACTGTCTATTATCATTTTCCAGTATATCAAGATGAATATTTAAAGTTGGTCAGCTTGGTAGTTTACCCTCTAGATCATGGCAGTATGTTACTTTGAATTCACCACTGCACAGTTCAGCCACCACATTGTTTCTATGCATGCTGTCATGCAGTTTACCAGTGCTAGTTGCCTTAACTTTCACAAGGAACTGATAACTTCTGAACATGTCAGAGTAGAGGTACAGTGCGAATGGCCGTAGTTAGGATTTTATAATCAGTTGTAACAAATGTGCCCTGCACTACCCGGGAATCAAACCGTAGTCACCCAGTTTACAGTCCAACGCTTGCTTGGCTCAATACTGGTTGCAAAGGTAAATCCTTTTTGGTTCCAACAGGTTTATGGTAAAAGGTTGCTTTACACCAGACATAAAGTAACACTTGGTTACTTTTCTTTTAATATTGCAATTTCTTTTGTATTGATCAATAAATAAATGTGTCATGAAAGTATTGCATTTTAGTATTGCAAAGGAAAGAAAACCAAAATTGAATTTGCTTTTTATAATAAAACAAAATTGGCAGAAATTGTCAAAGTCAATTTAAAGTTGATCGATATTTACAATTGAACTTGGGCATTTTTGAAAGTTGACTGTTTCCCTTTTACTGGAATTATAGACTTTGTCATTGAATGTGTGTAATTTCAATAAACCCTCAACTTTTTATGTAATAAACTGAATTATTCAGTCTATCATGTTGCCACTTATTTAATGTTTGTTTTTTTCTGGGATTTTAAAGGGAGACACAAGCAAAATTTTCATTTCTTCGTTTTAAAGTTTTCATTCATCATTCTGTAAATGTCAGCAAAATAAATACACTAGGGTGGTTTCCGAACTTGACCCATGTGGGTCAGGTTAGAGCGTTAAGATTTCACAATAGTTTTTACAGTGAACTCTGGAAATGTTTAAGAACATGTCAAAATGAATGACTATTAAAGTAAGACTTGTTTCAAACATACAATATCCACAATATCTGTTATTGTAACTTCCAGGGTTTGTTCAAGTCACATGACTGGTTTTAAAACTACTCAGAGATTCTGTTGGTGTCTAAATTTTGTTCAACATAAATAGATATATTTTCCCTTCAAATCCAAAATATATAGAATTTATACAGAAATTCATGCTTCAACTTCAAGAAATGTCAATTTAGCATTATTTGAGTACATAAGATCATTTTAATATTTTTGTCATTGATTTGTCTGAGGATCCCTTTAAGACACACGGACACTGTAAAGGTGATATGGCGACTTTCCTGGTTAGTTTTACTGGTGGAGGAAGACCTCAGATTCCCCCATCATGTATTATTTCAAGTTGGTATCATGGTATGTGAGTAGACACCAACATCTAAGCATGCTAAATATCTTTGATACATTAAAGAATTCAAAGTCCATGGGGGGATTAAACCTTTAGTGGTAAAGTGGTTTGAAGTCAACGATCATTATCACAAGTCTCGATGTGCATTTGTAGATGGAAGAGTAGGTCCCTTTTTTTAACGAAAAATTATGCAGCAAAGTTTGTTTGGTTTTTTTTTAAACTCTGATCTTATTTTTCTGTATTTCTCTGCTGTTGAAAAAAAAAAATTGTAGTTATTTACTATTAACTTAATGAATCTGAGTTTCGTAAATGGACTTGTCTGGTTCCATTGGAAAAGACCACTCACCATTGATTTTGGGGAATATTCCCCCGACCACCAAGAAGAAGTATTCAACAGTATAGTTAAGATTGCACAAATTAGATGTGTCCAAACACACAAAAACTTGTTAATATAACATTGTAAAAATAATTAAAAACAAAGATTCGTAATAAAACTTTTAACATTTTATTGTAAACAATGTTTTTTTTTATATAGTAAAAGAACACACCTAGCAAACATCACACAAAAATCAGTCCATTTGTACAATATCTAATACTGTTTCGGTAAAGTGACATTAATTAACATCATATAAGTAATATACATGTATATACTTCACACTTAAAACACAATACGGAATCTGGGGGAAATGTTGGGGGCACACAATGAAATTTATTACATATCAAATAACAATTTTCAAAACATTTTTTTTTTTTAACTTTTTTTTTGGCATCTTTTAAAATGATGCCATATTTTCATTATATTTTCATCATATATTTTAAGATGAAAATGGATTTTTAAAAAAAAAAAAATAACATCAAACATATGGAAACAATGTAACTTGTGAGAAACGGGTAAAAATAATTACAAATAGATATAATATGGAAAAACAACAACTACAAAAACAACTTATCAATTGCATATATATAAATAAGTTTAGAGAAGAAAAACAACATCCTGAAGGCCATTTTAATTTAAATGCTTTTGTTTTCATAACTATGTTAAATATTGTTATATACCAGGTATGTTTATTAACCAGATCTTAGTATTTACTGTTTCATTCAGAATTTAACTAACAAATCTATACAACAAGTTAAAAGAAAAAAAAAACGAATGGTAAAAAATTCTTTTTTAAAAGGAAAGTTTAATTGAACATGTTGAAATGGTATGAACCATTTTTCTATTTAAACTTCTAGAATTAACTAATTAGTCATTTTTTGTTTTTTAAAACAAAAGTTGATTTCTTTCTCAGGGGGTGGTAAAATGGTTAATGTAGCATTTAATTCAATATGGCCAAACAAGATCTATATATTTCAATAGCAAAACATTCCATTGAAATATATATAAAATGACTGTGTTAATAAATTAAAATATCAAAAGTTATCTTAAACATGAATATTTAAACAAATTGAAAGACCTTGTGCTCAAACAGTTTCTTTTTCTTATAAATTGGAAATATTTTTTTTGAGTAAAAATTATTGAAGAACTTTCTGAATTTCGATTTTTGTTTTTCTTGTCTAATTATTCCCACAAATTCGTGTTGGCCTGCACATGAAACTATTTAATTCTTACACCAGTATTTTCATATCTTTTTTTTTTTTACAATTAATACATCTGTTTATTATTATTATTTTTAAATTTTACTAAAACGCCTTGTATAAGAACTTTACATCGCATTTCTTAGTACTGGTTGGTTCCAGGAATGGATTCGATGAGTGTTTTCAATAACTTATAGCTTTCCAACACAATCAAAGAACTAAAATAAATTTGTATAAACTAACATTCCTCATCATCAAGTTATTGTAATAGTATGAAAAAGAAAGTAAATTTAAAGGACATAAATTTTTTTGAAGTTGTAAGTCAAAAATGACCAAGACTATAATGACTAAATACAGATTTTTTATATCTGCTTATCATTTTAATAACATTTAATTCTTTTTTCTGATAGAGAGTTTTAGATGGAATACATGTATTTCATATACTTTCATGTTTTTTGTTTTTATGTAACATTTTAGTTCTCTGCTTTTTGTATAATGGATGATTGTCTTAAATCTACATTCTACAACTTATACTGGCAGTGAACGTAATGTTATAGTGTTGTTTAAACTAATAACTATCATTTCTTTTCTCTACATGTATATTTATTTATATATGAATAATTCAAGTTTTTAATTGACTAAGGAAAGATAACTGTATTCTAGTAACTAAGTTTATACACTGATGTATCTACTAACGGGGCTCCAAATTGAGTCTGTTTTTCATAAGGTTTGGTCAAGTCTATTCCGCGGATGTGTCAAAAAGTGTAACCAATAGGTAAACACATTGGTGCGTCCATAACCATTGGCATATCTGAATTATCTTCGGCTTTTCCTTCGTTTTCTGTTTTATTTTTTCTCTTCTTCTGTTTTCGTCGACCTTGTATGTTATAGGGATTTGGATATTCTGACGGTATCTGGGCTGCTCCCAGGGCCATGGGGGACGGTGAAGGGGCTCGGGGTCTGTGTTGTCTACGGTCTCGCTAATCCATTCTGGGTGAACAATAAAGAAGGACTTTGACTGGAATGAGTTCTGAAAATAAACTTTCTCTAATATAAAGTTGTTACAAAATTTAGTTGCTGAAATTTTTCATGAAATTTTCTTATCTTTTTTTTAAAGGCCATTGTGCCTCAGAAATGCTTTTATTTTTATTTTTTAAAAGCATTTTGTTTTTTATGTCAAAAAAATCACATTCGGCTCTATTTTCTACTGTGATTTAGATAAAGAATCTAACAATTGCTCTTAAAGCATTATTTAAACATTATTAACTTGTGTGTGTCCTTTCTAAAGAAATAAAAATGTATTCATTTTGAGGCATAGTGTGCCTTTAAAAGAAGAAAATATGCTTTGATAAACAGTCCCAGATTCTTCTACTTTTATTGGACTGCTTTGATACCATGCCAGTAAATGATGTTGAAATGCTGCTAAAATTTTGCATTATATATATTATATACCTTTTATTGTAAAATTTCATTCCAAGACCATTACTAGTATTCAGTGATATCAGCATCTCTTGACAACCTGAGTTCTCTGTTATACATTATTATAACAGAGGATATTTGTTTGTTTTGCATATATTTCATTGAGTGAACATCAGATGCAATATTTTCATGAGTGGCATAGCCACGAGTGGAAATATATTAGCTGGTGTTCACGAATGAAATATATTTCAATCTAATATTTAAAACAAATAAATTTTTTTTTATTTCATGCTTTTGAAGTGATTTTAGGTATTTTTTACTGATTTTGCCGCGTAACGTCGCGCATTCTCCTTTAAATTGTCATCACATCATGACGTCACATCATCAATTTTGAAATAATATAGTTCTGTTGAATTTCTCTAATTTTTTTACATTTTTAACATGATGAATGATGGCATCAACTTGACCTTTTCCTAAAGAAGCAAATTTACATATGACTGCATTTATTTTTGCCTGTTATTCCATTTAGTTATGATATTCTTTTCATCTGCATTCAGATATAGTCTGGCTACAGTGAAAATTATATTTTATAAATTTCACTTGTGGTTTATCAGAATATAATCATCTGATATATTACAGTAAAACACTTGAAAGCATGAAATAAAGTGAGTTTTCCTATTTGATAACTTAAATTCCATAATCATTTAGTATTAACTGCATTGTGTCACCTTTTAGTGTGACATTACTCAAGTTCTCTTGTACATGTACATGTACTTACCCCAAAGAGACTGTCTTGATGATGGTGGTCCTTGGTGATTGGTCTTAGAGCCCTGTAAATAACAGAAAAATGTTTATGTATATAAGTAACAACAAGTTTCGTTAAAGCTACCAACCCTGTCATTAATAAACAAATTGTCATCAAATCAATCTTTAGATAAATTATGGAAGTGTTTAAGTAAGTAATAAATATCACAAAAAGGACAAAAAATAAAAAAGAAAATGCAGGATACTCTATATATATGTCTTATTTGTTGTTGTTTTTTTTGTAAAATTTGGCTGAAAATTTTTAGTAATATATTTTTGCCCTTTTCACTGGTGGATTGAGTGCTATAATTGCTTATCTGTATTTTACCAATTTATAAATGTTTTGTTTTTAAATGGCAATATCACAGACTGGCTAAAATGGCATTATTTGTACTCTTGACAATAATTTGAATACTTTGAACACTTTTTTAAAAGTTTATAAAGATTCACAATAGACTCTTGACATGCTCCTTTAAGGTTCAAACAAGGGGTATAATGTTAATTGCAAGTGTATGACATGTATGATAAACTTGAAAAGACAAAATCGCTATTGAATGAGTTGTAGATATAAAGCTTTTATTTTGTTAAAAACTATTTATTTTTCAACTTATCTAAAGCATTTTGACATCTGCAGAGTTGTAAAGTTAAAAAGTTAAGCCTCATCTTCAAACCATTAAATTCTATTCAAACCGTATCAAATGATTTTACAGTACTTAATGTATACTGTCGTTGTACGGTAATTATTTAAAACTGAAATGTGTTTTGTGATCGCCTTCAAAAGCGGTGATTAAAGTATTTAAGATTAGATTTAAAGGTTCAATTTAAAGTTTTCACCTTGTATATTTGCATTTGAACACCTGGATTAAGAGAATGTTACGATTTAAACTGCACGTCAGGCTGTATAATAGATTTCTTATCTCACTCAGATTACAATTTTAATTGTGTAGTTTCAAATTGATTTACTTAAATTTCAATGGTAGAACAAAATGTGAAAGTTTTAAATGCATGGATCGCAAGGCTTTGAAAATGTTTTGTTTATTGAATTTATTGTATTTAACCCTGCTCAGTGGATTATACTTATTGTGTTTATATTGAAGGTTATACAGCCTATAATTTTATTTTTAAAGTCACTGTCATTTTATTGACGAATGTTGAATTCAATATATTGTTGTCATCATGTATTTTGCTTATTGTTTACCTATGCATTATATAAATACTTTACATAGTAAAATTTTTTAAAAAGGTGTATAAAAGATTTGCAATGCATTTCTTAAGTGAAAAAGGTTTGTTGTAAAAATTGTTCACAAATTAGAAATAATATAAATGCAGACTTAGGTGCTTTTAAATATTGACAGCAAATAAAATTTTTCCAAAAGGCCCATTTTTATAATATGGTAAATAAATAAAGAAAAATTAAAGAACATTTTAATTTTTAAAATGATAGTTTTTGAAATGGTATGAGTTTGTTATATAATTTAGCTTTTCAGTAATTCTGTTTCATAAACATTCTACAGAAATTGCTTAAAGCAAACTCATCTGCAAAATTTTTTTGGTGATTTTTATATGAAAAATTTAATAAACTGGTTCAAATAATGAAACTTCTGTCATTTTGTTCAGAGAATTTATTTATTTCCAATGAAAAAGTTATGATAAAAAAGTCAAAATATACACAATAAAAGTATAATTTTCTGTCAGTAATATGAAAGAAAGACATTAGTAATAAAAATTCTTGATTTATTTAAACACGCAAAATGTCACAAATCGCTATAACATACAATCTCAACCCTCAATTATTTCCCCTCCTTGTGGCTGAGGTGTAGCCTGCGGGTCGAGGCATCAGAATTGCAGCCACCATTAATTTTATCCCTGCGTTATTGTAAGAGGTGACTAAATGGTTCGAATTACTTGTATCTATGCATCATTTAGCTCCAGCAAGTAAGGTGGTTTTGACACCTGGTGTTGCTTTAAGTTTATTACAACCAAGGTTTTAGCCAAAATATCTTTCCTGTTTCAGAACCATATGACCTTAGATATGTTCACCAGTGTGTTTTAAACCAACACGCCAAACCAAAAAAAAATCAATTATTTCTTCATTTTTTCCTTAACTTGATCTTTTTTTTAAGTTGAACTATAATAACTCAATCTGACTAAAGTTCAGATCTACTTATTTCTTACATTAGCATTTTAATTTAGGCGCTGATTTTTAATCAGATAGATAATAACTCATCTGGAGGAAATTGTAGTTTTTTTACTTAGAAACATTCTTGGTTTTTTTTTTAGGATTTTTTTTTAAAATGAGACACATGGGTGTAAAATGAATACAAGATATCTTATTGTCAAAATATAAACTATGGACCTTTTCCACCTTGTAAATTATCAAACATTTTAAAGTTGTTGTAAAATATTTTAGATTTTTTTTTTTCTTGTGATCAAATTTTAGATACATGTTGTGTTAACCTTTGCATTGCAGGGGCCATAAGATCTTAACAAACTTCTAAACTGTGATCTGTATCTAATGAATTTTGTGGGAGCCTATAAAGTTGAACCTGCTAGTAATTTCTTAAAGGCTCGACATTATTGCTCCCCTAGAAATCTTTAATGCTTTTTTTTTATTTTCCGAAACCCTTTTTATTTTTTTGGTTTTTCCTGTGATGTTTTTTTAAAAATTTTTTACTTTTTGTAAATTTGGCCCTGAATCATAGATTGTTTCCCCTTTTCTGGGGGAAAATTTCTAAAGTTTTTTAAACTTTTTTGGTATGGAAGTCAAAATTTTACTACTTTTTTTAAAATTTGCTACTTTTTATAAAACCAAATCATTTCGCTTTTTTATTTGCTTTTTTTTTCCCAGGAAACAAGCATTTTTTATTTTTCCCTCAACAATTAATTTAAAACTTTTATAAAATTTTTATTTTTTGCTTTTTTTCAAAAAGGATAAATTTTTTCCATTTTTGGGGGAAATAATGTCCCTTTTTTAAAGCGGGCCTTTTTACATTTTTTGGAATTTTCCCTTTTTTTAATTTTTTTTTAAAAGGCATTTCTTTTGAATGTCAAAATTTCAAAATTTTAAAAGAGCATTTTTTAGGTTTCCAAAATATACGGGGCCTGGCCGGGAATTTTTAAATTTTTTTTTGGTTTCAAAGCTTATCATTTTTTTTGTTCTGCCGGGGAAAAATTTGTTTTTGGGTAAATTTTTCAAAAAGTTTTTTTGTTTTTAATTTTAGTTTTAGAATTTTTAATAAATTTTGTTTTGTTTTTCTTAATGCACCAACATTTTTATTTTTGGGTCCAAATGTTTTTTTTTAAAATTTGTTTTGAAATTTTTTTAAAGAAAAAGAATTTATTTTTTTTTTTATTTTTTTTGGCATTTTTGAATTTTATTTTTTTTTGGGTTTTAAAAAGTCCCAACAGAGGAGTTAAAATTTTTAATGAGTTTTTTTTTTTTTTGAACATTTTTCCCTTAAATTTTCTTTTAAATATTAGAAAAAAAATTTCAGGCATTTTTCCTTTTCTCCTCTTTTTTTGGCTTTGTTTTTTTTTTGCTAGTTTGCATTCCCTTATGATGGGAATACTTCTTTAACTCTGTTACATTTGGAATTTATGTCTAGAAACCATTGGCATTATTAATAATTAATACTCAATTAAAAGTTTTTTTTTTTTTGAAAAAATAAATAAATCTGCTTTTTATAATTCTCAGTAAATAATAAGAGCTACAGCAGTTGTTTTATCAATGTTTAAAACGTGGATTTTCCTGAGTTCAATCAGAAATTACATTATCATATTTTTTACAAGGAATTATTGGGCATGACTGACATAGGAAATTAAAAAAAAAAATATAAAAATATGAGAAAAAACTGTTAGCATAACACATCATTTTCTTTTGTTTGTTAAACCAATAAACCATCATAAAAGATTCATACATAACTATTTGCAGTTAAAGGAGTAAGATTTTGATTTGTTTTCCAATTTTATGTCAATCATATGGAACAAAATTCATACAAATAGCATTTCCAATTTTTTATTTAAATTCAGACTTGGGGTTATTGAAAATTTCTTTAAAATTTTATAAATTTGGAAGTGGGGGCATCTGGTTTACTGGGGGTTTTTTTTAACGCTTTTTATGATTAAAAACCCAAAAGGGTTTTTAAAATTTTTGGTTTCCTTGTACATAAAATCCCTTAGAGGCATGGTTTTTAAAGGGGGATCAAGTTTTTAATCTGATTAAAGAGCCATTTTGTTTTTAAATTGAAAAAAACTTTTGTTCCAAGACTTTTATAAATTTTCTTCAAAGGTGCCAATTTTTTCAATTGTTTTTTTTCTTTAAAAACTTCGTATGTTAAAAGGTCAAATATTTATCCCCTGATTAAATTTAAACCAAGTTTACTTTCAATTAATGTAAAAAACCCTTTCCTAAAATATATGCCATAACTTTAATACAGAAAAATACAGGTTTAAATTAAAATTAAGGTCATTATTAAGGCCCTTTCCAAAATTTCATTTTTGCAGTTAAATAAAAAGTAAAAAATTATGTAAATTGAGAAAAATTATTGAAAGGGAACCCCTTTTCCCCAACCCTTTAATCCCCCCAGCCCTTTTTTCCCTTTTCTGCAGGGTTTTTTCTTTTTTGGGCCTGTTTCTCATGATAAAAGGGGGCCTTTTTACAATTTTTTTTAACCTTTTGGACAAAACCCTTCAAAAGACCAAAATTTTGATTTTTAATTTTCACTTTTTTAATGCCCTTTGCCCTTTAAAGGGTTCAATTTGGGGGTTTTTTGATTTGTAATTTCAATTTTTTTTTTTCTTTTTAATTTGGGTTTTTTTTTTCTTTTTTTTAAGTTTTGTTTTTGTTTTGTCTTCAACCCAAAACCCTTTTTTAGGAAAGGAATAAAAAAGGGATTTAATTAAATTTTTGACCTAATATTGAACCGTGGCACAAAAAGGTCAAATTAAAGTGATTTTAGATACAACTAGCCATCATCTTCGTTATTAATTTTTGCGATTTTGTTTTATAACTTGGGTCGAAAAGAAA